CAGGCTCCCTTGGGTCACCCCTGCCCTCTGAACCTTCCCGGACCCGAGACAAAACCCCCAAAGTACAACATTTGAGCCCTACTTTGACCAAAAGAATCAGTATTTCTAGCAAAAAACAAAACGAACAAAAATACTTAGGGAGATTTGGGGCCGTTGTTTCACAAACAGCTAAGTGTGCGATGATCTGATGTCCCCTCTGCTGAGTGGAGGCCTCTCTCCATCCTACCCACATCCTGTTGGGGGGCAACAGTGTGTTCTACCCCCAGCCAGGTCACCTTCGAAGGCAGCACGGAAGTGTTTAAGATCCGGATTTCCTAGAAGACCCTACAATGCCTGTGACATTCACTTTAATAGTAATAGATTTCACCATTTTAGATAGAGGGGTCTCCCAGACCAGCAGTTAGCATAATAGCTATGTCACTGGATTCCCATGTAGTCGACCGCGGTTTGCGTCCCAGACCCGGTGGCTTAAAACTCACGCCGGGCGTATGTGCGTGCGTGCCCAAGATCCCGAGAGAAGAATGGAGGAGAAGGGGTTGCGGCGTGGCCACCCCCCCTGGGGGGTGATTTCTCGCTTTCTGTCTCTCTGTCTCTCTCTGTCTGTCTGGTGAGCGCACGCGCCCTATAGCAAAAACCTCTCCCACGTTCTCACCTAATTCTACCTGTTAGCCAGTATATCGCAGTCACTAAACGCATGTTCTGGGCGCTTGACCTTGGGATATGCGTTTCTGTATGGAGATAGTCACTGAACGCCTTGCCCTGCGTACCTGTCTCAAGATGGAGGGATTTTCCTGGTCTTCTGCACACACGGCAGCTGGGTTGGAGGTGTGGCAGGTGTCGTATTGTGGTCTGGCCTATGGTGGGTCATGCAGGTACAGGGCCCGCGCTCCAGGCCAGGGGAGCAGACGGGGGGAGCGTGCCCGTCCTGGGGAAAGCGTCTAATCCAGAGCTGCCCGACCTTGGGGCCCAGAGGATCCAGCTCGGCGAGGGCTTAGCGGGCGCTGCAGTGGCAGACGGAGCCCTGTGAATCTTATCAAGTGTGACCATTACGGGCTGAGGACGAGCCTTAATTAATCCGTGCTCCTCTGGGTGTCACATCCCCCAAATCTGTGTGTCCACGAGAATGCGCAAGTGCAGTTTCCTCGTCCTGAGCACCAGGCAGAAGAGCTGCCGCCTTCCATTCTACACAAAACAATTTCCACACCAGAAAATACATGCATATGCACACATAACTGCATTCTTAACAAAAGGGAAATAATGAGGGCAAAATGAATCCTCTGCTCCAGGGCGCCCCCTGCAGACCGGAGCAGAGCTCACAGACCAGCTTCTGTCTGCTCACTTGGCTGATCACTCTGATTCGTTCCAGACCTGCAGCAGGAGCAGGGCAAAGCCTCCGAGGTCCTGTGACTCTGAAATGACACCTCTGTCATTGTCTCTACAGGCATGTCCAGACATCCCCCCGCTCCCGACATGCCCACCTTTTACCCCCTGTCTCCAGGCGGCGTGGGACAGATCACCCCACCTCTTGGCTGGTAAGATCCCTCCTGCCACCTCCTCCAGGCTGGAGTGTGTGCTCTCACGCTTCCGTTCTTGGAAATTAGCTTTATGGTGGGGACACTTGTGGAGTCTGGGGGCTTCACATCAACGCCTAGGTGCCCACTTCATTTCACTTCCATTGAAAAGATGAGAAAGCACAGACTTTGAAATGGATGGAATCCATTT